ATGAGCTAGTGTAAATGGTAATGGGGGGAAAAAAAGCTAATTTTGAAATGTTCAATATCTCCAGTTCTAAAAAGCAACAGAGAGTCCTGAGGCACCTTTAAGACTAACAGCTGTATTGGAGCATAAGCTTTTGTGGGTGAATACCCACTTCGTCAGACACGTATTCACCCACAAAAGCTTATGCTCCAATACAGCTGTTAGTCTTAAAGGTGCCACAGGACTCTCTGTTGCTTTTTTCAGATCCAGTCTAACACGGCTACCCCTCTGACACTTGACTCCAGTTCTAAATGAACTGCTAATTTTTATCTGTCTCAGCAAATACTGGTCTCCAGTATCCTCTGTTGGCTAATCACAAACCTTTCTTGGATGGTAATCGAAGAAGTACTATTTCTAATTATTTGTAGTATGTGTCCCTTGATTCAATCCAGAACCAACAGGATTCCTGCACTAAACGGTCACTTATGATAGATTTGAGAGATACTACCTGCTCTTACTTTACTCACATTAGCTTGTCATGGACCAAGGTTGTTATCCTGGACACCGATCTTCAAGTTGCTTGAAAATGGAAGTTTGGGATTTGGCCACACACAGAAAGAAAAAGGAGAGCCCACATATCATCAACCTACTGAAAGCCTATCTCAGCTCTTTAATGACGTCAGTGCCTTTCATTAAGCCCCCCCCCAAGGTCCGATAAATATTGTAGGAGTTATCTGGAGGAAGATATTTAAGATCAAGAACGAGTCAGGCACAAACATCCAATGTGGTTTATTAAGGAAAGCATGATTCCTCCACTTTCTGGAAGAAATTTAAAAGCAGCCATGTTTGCCGTTAGAGATTGTTAGCAGCAGGAAAATCACTGGTGCTGCTTTAACTAAATCACAGTCAAGAGTTCATTGACTTGGGAGTGGAAAAGCAAGAAAACACAGAACAATCATTCAGGCTGACCTTGAATTTTGTGAGAACTAGGATTTTAAGGAACATCTAGTTCAGTTGACTAATTTGTAACAAAATGTCTTGAAAATACTACCCAGAAATAGTATTAAGTCCCTGGAGTCTCCCATGATATTTGACGAGCTGAGAAATCGACAATTAAATAAATTGAGCAGTTCTCTCACATTATAGTAAATAACTAATGCAATAAAATTATGAAACTAGCTGGCTGTTAGAGGAAATCTGTGTTTTTCCAAGCCATTAATACCCTTATTCAAAGATAACAGCAAGGTTTTTCTTTAAAAAGGTACCTTCTTCTTTCATTCCCACTTTTTAAGGACATATTTAAAAATGAGAGACTCTGGCTGAGTGTGCAGCCTACACGCAGAATTAAGGGAAACTTCAGTGTGGCCGTGCAATGCTCTCTTCGTAGTGTACAATAAGGAACAGTCATTTTCCTAAGCTAGTATCAATGTGTGTTGCCTGTTTGTCCTTGTAAACGGTGTCTCTGCAGTGGGCTCATTTACACTGCAAAAAGATGTGGTAGGAGAGCAAGACTGAAAGCTGGAGACTATGTAAGAAGCCTTTCGGAGCATGGGGGACAAAATACAGCTTTTAATGCTCCACCTGGACAGGTGTGCCTTTTTAGGGCTCCTGGATTTGTTACAATTGTCATTTTAAACGGTTGTTTGGGTTTTCTACTCTGTATCGCACGGTTTTCCCTTAAAGTTAGAATGACAAATTGCAGCTCTAATCGGCTGGGTCTGAGATGATTTTTCTCGTTAGGCAGGCGCCTAAATGGACGTCCCCCCCCCCCTTTTTTTTTAATGTGTTGCGCCGCCACTATACAATCAGGGAATCTCACAGGCCAAACTGAACGTTCATAATTCATTCCCCAGAACTTAAAAGCGCCTTTCTCATTCAAGATACTGCACAGGTTTAAACAATCCACCGACACTGAAACAATGCGAAATATGGGCGCAAAATTATCCCATCGGAATCGGTGTGTACACACATACACCACTAGCTAAAATTTGCAAATGATTCTATAGCATACGTAACTGCAAAGCACCCTACTCGAGGAATGGCTCTCCCTTTTCATCGAAATAAGACTAAAACCCTGACTCCAGCTATTTTGATATACCCCACTCAAAGGATGTATTTGTTATACATCCAGGCAGATTTATGATGTGCTCTTGATGTATCTTAATTTTATCAAGGAGACGAAAAACAACAGTCTCTGCCTGAGTGATTTTAAAACGGGGGGATAATCATGCCTCTCGCGTCTACATGCTCAGTCAAAATTGTTAATCGTTCAATCAACCATTTCGGATAAGGTGATGTGGTTTGCAACCGACGATGTTCCTAGGGGCTTTTCAGTGCTGGTTTTACTGTGGTATTTTTCCGCGTGACCCTGGCATTTTACTTATTGTCTGAGCCCACTGCAAAACAACTGAACACGGGGAAACAAACAGGAAATCCTGAGGATGGGAAGGGATGGCAGCTGTTCTGGCTATATGAAATTATAATACAGTAGATTATAAGAAAAGCCCAGAGTCTGTGTCGGAAGAAAGCATCCGTTTTCCAACAGTACAACCCTCGAGGTGGCAATGATTAAATACAGGGAGTGAGCGGGCTCCTTCTTAATGTGCATTTCCTCCCGAAAATCCGATCTCTTTGCTGGTCTCTTTGTTAAGTTGCCCCCCTGCGGGGGGTTCCTCAGGGAGGCTTGAATTATTGGGGTAATGGAAGGAAGGGGGAGCTTGATGTAATATGGAGAATTGCAAACAGTAAAATGGCTGATCCGTGTCTCATTTAGCTATTGATGCTCAGACTCGAGCGGATACACTCGCGTTTGGCTTCCCCCGCTCCCGATCGCCTGGCACATCCTGCTTTATTTGCCAGAGCACCGCTGTACCACACCAAGGCGGAAGCCAGGACCGCCGCGCAACGGAGCTAGCACTGCACAGCTTTCGTGGGCAGCAGGCTCTCCCAGTTAAGTTTAATTGATTAATTGGAGAGTTAAATGGATCTCAGCTCAACAGCTCCTAGCTAATCATGGAGCGTTTAATTTGCTGAGCCTGCCTGTCCAGCTGGACGGGGAAAGCTAGCATATGGTCCCACGCCATGTGCAGTAAGCCAGGCTTATGTAATGTATGGAAAGAGCCTAAAAGGAACCATTTTAAACCTGGACCATCTGTAAAGCAGTGTGTGCCATCCGCGTGGGAGGCGCCCTTTGAGCCCCAAAGTCATCGCCAGAGGAGCGCATTAGATGGGCGCGTTCTCCCCGAACCTGCCCCGCAGCTACCCAAGGGGCAAAGCACTGCACAGCCTGCACACCACCCTCTCCCACCGCCCCATCCCCATTGCGCACGCGTCCCTGCTCCCCTCCCTCCCCCGAACACGAGAGAAAGGGGTCCCTGCGGTTTCACGCCCTCCCACCCCCCAGAGCAGCCCTGTGCACGGTTATCTGAATGACACGAGCATTCGTTACTCACAAGCATTGGTGACGGCGAAGCTGTTGGCTACCTCCAGGTTGTCGATGTGGGGCGTCAGCCTAAACTCTGAAGTGGAAAACTGAACCATCCCTACCCGAAATGCACTGTATTCCTGATCGGCACCCCTCGGAAACAACCCCCCTGCAGGGAAACAAACACACATAAAACAGAACAAGAGACCCGATCAGTGCTGCAAAGTGAGAAGCTTCAGGCAACAGGGGCATCCCCCCTTGGGCATCGCATCGCTGGGAGCCACTTAATCTCGCTGTCAGGGAGAGGGGCAGCTACATGCACGCTCGCTCTGGGGCGGTGAAGCTCTTCTAGTCAGCTGTCGTGGGGGGGCATGTTATTTGTCGGGAACCGTTGATTCTGCATCACGCCAGAGAGATGCGAGTCTCTTAACGTGAATAGCTAGCATCGCCAAACCGCTATCGGACCAGCTACACGATTTCGTTTCGATTTAAGGCAAACGGGGAATAGCCATCATTTCTGAAAGGAGGGGGCGTCATACAAAATCACACACACACATGTGTGTATAATACATAGCATTCAGGGCTTGACAGGACATGAATACGCGAGCGCAATGCCAGCTGTGAATGAATGAATAAATAACCCCTTCAAATTAAACCTCAATCCGAAAAAAAAATCCTGCCAGGCAGGGACACCTACCTATTTGTATGCTGTTAGAATAGACCCCCCAAATCAGTCCCCAGAACACAGGAGCCAGGAAGACAGAAATATGCATAATCTTGTGCATTTCCATGAAAAGTAGAGCATCCACGAAGCCACAAACGATCCCTTTCCTCCTCCTCGTTCTTCGTCCGTTCTCGCCAGCGAATTAGATCCTCTGCAGTGTTGGCCGAGGGACCAGACCACCCAAAGAAAGGAAAATAACCCCGAAGCGGCGGAAGCGGGAGAAGCGTTTGCACAAGGTCTGGTCCTTGTCCCGGCTCCAGAAGTAAGAAGGCTGCTTGAACGCTGCCGTGGTCCCAGTACATCCAGCACACGCACATGCACTCACACACTCGCACCCCCTCGCGCTAGCTCACAGGCTGGGGACCGGGGAAGAACCTGGCGCGCGTGCGCGAGCAGCATAGCGCGCGGGAGCGCGCGCCCACCCCCACTTTCTCTCCTTGCCCCGGCCCTATAGCGCGGCTTGCGCTGCTCGCCCGGCTCAGCATCAGGGCTGCGCTGCTGCTGCGGCTGCTTCTCGCGTCCCTCCAGGGCCGCTGCCGCCGGGACAGCGCTAACCAGGTGGCTGGTGCCTTTGCGCACCGCGGACAGCGCCGCAGCAAGAGCAACGAAGCAGCCGCGGACCTACCCGCCGCCTGCCCCCAGTGCTGCAGGGGGCTCCCGACAGGCTCGCCTGGGGGCAGCGGGAGGTTCGCTGGCCTAACCGGGCCCCCCAGTTGTGCTAGGTAAAGGTCTCCCTTACCTGTCAGTGGCTAGGTCAAGGAGGGGGGTGGGTGTGTTCAGCTGCGGCGGAGCACAGGGCCTCCCTTCCCCCACATCAGAGCCTTGCAGGCGCGTGGCGGCGGTAGGGGGAACTGCAGCAGAGCTGCTCTCCTGCATGCTCCATGCGGGCCGGCTTCCGGCTGGCACCCGGCGTTGGCACACTGGCCAAAGCGCCTCGTGCTGCAGCCGAAAGGGACCCGGAGCCACCGCGCGTGCGGCCGTGACACGGGATTCAGGCTCATATCTTATTTTGAGAGTGATATTTTATGTTTAAACAAACAAGCAAACAAAAATCCTGTTTGTGAGTTACAAAATACACAAGAAAACAAACAACAGCAAAATAACCTGAGACTATTTTGTGCTTGGATAAAAATGAAATGTAGAATAAATCCATTATGTGGACTCGTTGCCTTTACAGTTTGGAAAATAGCTAAACTGGCCAATACATATACGTAGAAAAAATATCTATTCATGTGCACATATATTTCTTTGCCAGAAATGTTGTAAGGATAATTTATGATGACACGTTTTATCCTGTATCTAGTAAAATGTTATTTTTATTTTTTATATCACAGTAACAACTAGGGGACTAAACCAAGTTGTGGTCCCATTGTATTAAGCGCAGCACATTTATATAATAAAAGACAGTGTCTGCCCCAAAGAGATTATAGTTGTGGGGGCTGAGCAGTCCACCTGTATGCTATGTAGAATAAAGGCCTAAAAGACAAGGAATAAGAGGTGGATGAAACAAAGAAGTAGCAAGGGTAGAAAAGTGAGGACTAGGTAAAAAAAATGTTGGATGTTTAGCATAGACTGTGTGCACGGTTCTTGTGTAATAACAAGTCAGTAGTAATAGTCTGATCGTGTTATTGGAGAATTAAAAATAATCAGTTTTTCTTTTTGTTTTTATTTCACTAGGTGGCCAACTGCAGAAAAATATAAAAGCCATTTGGCCCCATTCTCTTTTCAGCTCCACCCTGGTGAGCCCACTGACTGCAATTTTGGTGAAATGGTTCAAATAAGAGGACAATGCAGTCCAATGAAACTGCAAGAAGGTAATTTCATCAGATGTTACAAACAGATGTAAAAAGTTATGCTGACAATAAAATAAGGCATTCTATTTTTAGTTATGCTGACAATAAAATAAGGCATCTCTCCATTCTTTTTCTATAAAAATCCTTAGTTCAGTGAAAAGTTGCAAGACAGGCAAGAGAGAAAAAAAGAAAAACTGGCTGATAATAAATTATGCTAACATAGTAAGAATAGACCATACTAATTAATATTATATAAAAAACCCAAATAATATGACTGAGATTCGTGTTCAGTACTCTTTGCACAAAAAAAGGAAAAGATTCTAGTAAGAATTCGGATAAAATTGTGATCTAAAATAAAGAAAAAGAAGGTCATGTTCTCTCATGCATCCTTTCTAAATCCACTTTAAGAAATGTTTATAAGAATCCAAATCATAAGCTTAGAACCTGAACCTGCGGACTTCAGTGGAAGTATTTTGCGTAAGTAAGGACCAACCTTTATTAAAAGGAATGTAAGAGTACTATCATACTGAACCACCAAAGATAAATTACGGAAGTCCAGACCACAAACAACAGGGACATGCCTTTCAAAAGTTTAAGAACCTCATCTTAACTCCCCTGTAATCAATGGGATATTTGCCACTTACTTCTGTGGAAGCAGAGAAAGAACTGACAGGAAGGGGATGCAATGCAATGCATCCCCTTCCTGTCAGTTCTTTCTCTGCTTCCACACTTCAAAGGATGCAGGATGATGCCCTGAGATCCCAGTATGATCATTTCAGTGTTCCTAGCTAATTGATACATCTCTATACGTAATTATAAAGGGGGGGATCATCATCAAGTGAGTGTGTTTCTAGTGGGGTCCGGCAAGGATTGAATCTTGGCCCTATGCTGTTTGACGTTTTTGTCAGTGACCTGGAAGAAAATTTAAAATAATAACAGATAATGTTTGCAGATGACACAAAGATTACTAAAATCATAAATAAAGAAGAGGGCAGGTCACTGATACAGAGCGATCTGGATTGCATGATAAATTGGGTGCAAGCAAATTATATGCATTTCAGTACAGCAAAACATAAAGTCAAACATCTAGGAACAAAGAATGTAGGCCATAATTACAGTATGTAGGACTCTATCCTAGGGAGCAGTAACTGAAAAGACTTGTGGGGGTCATCGTGGATAATTCCTGAAAATAACAAACCAGTGTGACATTGTGGCCAAAAGGACTAATGTGATCTCTGGATGTGTAAGCAGGACAATATCAAGTAGAAGTAGAGAGATATTATTTCTGTATTTGGCACTGATATGACCACTGCTGGAATAATGTGTCCAGTTCTGGTATCCACAGTCCAAGGATATTGTTGAAAAATTGGAGAGGGCTCAGAGAACTACGAAAAAATTAAAGGATTGGAAAACTTTCCTTATATTGAAAGACTCAAGAAGCTCAACCTATTCAACTTATCAAAGAAAAGGTTAAGAAGTGACACAGTGTATAAGTACCTACAAGGAGAACTTTGATAACAGAAGACAAATCTAGAAGACAAAAGGTATAAAAATGTCTGGAAGTTGAAGCTAGACAAATTCAGAAATAAGGGACAATTTTTTAAGAGTGAGGGTAATTAACCTTTGGAACAACTTTCCAATTGTACTGGCGTCTCCATCACTGGAATTTTTAAATCATGATTGCTTTTTTTTCTAAAAGATAGACTCTGGTTCAAACAGAAATTAATTCAGGCAACTCCTATAGCCTGTGTTATGCAGGTGGTCAGACTAGATGATGATCACAATGGTCTTTTCTGGCCTTACACTCTATGAATCTGCATATTTGTTTTTCATAACTAGGAATTCACCTCTAATTTTGAAATCATATCAAATACATTTTTGTTCTTTCAAAAAACAAAGGTTTGCAGAATGCACAACTGCAATATCTGCTCAGATGTAAAAAAAAATTCTGATTCTAGACAACTAACATACTCTCCAAGGCTTGGTGTCTGTCAAGGAACAAAATACTCCATTTGTCCTAAAAAACCTGTTTTCTTTGGACTTCTGAAATAAGTAAATGGTTTTCTCCAAGCGAATGTAAAGTTCAATACAAAAGTAAATGAAAGCAAGGTGTTCAGGCCCTAAAATTGACTTACTTTAAAATTATTTAGTCTGACGTGCAGGTTCTGGATTTCAAATGTCTCTTTAAAAATAAAAAATACAGCAATGTCGCCAATGTACAAAATAAATAAAGCCATTAGCCATTAGAACAACGGTTTCTGCTGTACTGTTCCCTCTGCTGGCTCTTCACCTGCAATTAACTAGCATTGGTTCTAGATATATAACCACTGGTGGTGAGCTATAAGGAAGACAGTCGACAAACATAGCCACGTTAAATTTCTGCTTCATGATATTGGTGGAGAAAAATTGCATCATGAAGCTTTGGAGTGGCTATTACAAATAATGGAAAGTAATAAGCAACTATCAGACAGTATCATTTAATGTCATTTCACTGCATTTTTGCAGTGGTTTAGTTATATAAATAATATGTTGGAGTTTCTAGTGCATTGGGATTCAGTATATCAATCCAGGTTATTTTCATCCATCTGTGACACATTTTCACATTATTTTGAGGATAAAGCCACTCAGATTCAAGCTAAGCTGTCTGTGTGTATAATAACAAAGCCATCTCTGGTGGAGACAAATACAGTTTTTACTGCTTAGATTTTGGCCTATGCAACATGCTAGATTTTGGCCAGTGACACAACCTGCAAATTAGATCTATGATTCTTGGCTGGAAAAGAAATATGAAGCTAATTTTGGAATTAGTTGTCAATGCTTCCCTTTGGGAGTGGCTAAATCTTGTAATTTTTTCCACCACAGTAACTAAAAAAATTTCTCTCTTCTTTTAGTCCCAAGAAATAAATTGCTTTTTCATGTTCTAATTATCTCCTGCCTCACCTGCTAGTTCCTCTCTGGTTTTTTTTTTTTGCTTCCTCACCTCATCCCTTTCATTTTGTCAAAAATGCTGCCGCAAAAATAATTTTCTCATGCATTTTTTCATTACATCACCCATCTTCTAGTCCTTCAACTGGGTGTAGCAAGTCAAGCTTTTTGTCATTGCTTTTGAAATCCTGCAGCACTCAGCCCTGACTTTGTCTTCTTTCAAGTTCTGCCCTTCCCATCTACTTCACCACTTATGCCAGCCTTGACTTCAACTTTGTTTCTTATTCTCACTCGTGGTTTCCATGCCTTCTTCTATGCTGACTTCTGTGCTTGAAATGCACTCCCTAAACCCATTCACCAAACTGGCTCCCTTTAATCATCCAAATCCCTATTTAAACATCACTTTGCTCTGTTACCTATGAGAAATGAGTTAATAATGATTTTAAAAGAAAAGCATTTTGAATAGCCAAAAACAGAGGATTTCACAGGCTAGCTATGCAACAATGATTTAATAGCTCTCAGGATTTACAAAAAATGTGATACAAATGTTGACTGACAAGTACCAGCTATAAAAGTGTAATAGTCCACTTTCTATTGACATTTAGCATGTACATCTGTCACATTTACTTGTGAATTACTCATGTCTTAT